TCCTTTTTTTCTTTTCGAGAAATTTTAAAAGAAAACTTATAAATAAATGCTAACTCAATCATGTTGAAATCTTGATAGCGATATTATGATTTCTGTTTATAATTAGAACAATTTTCAATCTGTTTTCTTTGAAAGAGAAAACAGTAAACCGATTTAGTATTACTTAAAGTGGACAAAGACGATTAAAGTCACAAAATTTTTTATCAAAATTATAATAAAAATATTTGCATAATGATTGGCGAAATATTTAGAACGACTTTCTAGTCCAACACGCACGAAAAATGTTTGAGTAATGAAAATAAGTTGAATGACACATTAAAATCTTCAGTGAGGCGTTTTCCATTAAATACTTAAAGTTTACTGACCTGGTAAGTTGGAAAGATCGTTTGTAAATAACATCACACAAATTAGAAGTGAGGCAGCTTTCATCAATGTCAAATAAATTTTAAATTACCATGAAATATTAAAAAGGGACATCATCAACAAATGACGTTTATGTTCTCATTTCCTTTTACTTTCTACTTGTTTATGCTCACACAACAACATTAATTACTTTATCATTTGAATTTGCATATCAATTCATTAAAATGATCTAAATTTGACATGCGTTGCACCACAATGGAATTGCAAATACACAATGTATCATCGTTTATGCTAAACAAAAGTTTGTAAATGCTTTGACAGTATAAAAGGATCTGAAGTTAGAATCATTTCATCAGTTTTCTTTCGTAAGCTATTAAGGTAACGTTCTATTGACAGATATGGAACAAAAAGATTGTTTAAAAGTTAAATCAAAAGTTGTGAGGCGCATCTCAGACGTTTCTGCTGACACCGTGTCATTAGATGCGCGAAGAAAGATTAAATATGGTGGTCCATTGACAGGTGATTAAATTAAATTCTTTATCTAACGACACTAATTGAATCTTTGAAATGAAGCTGTGTGGGGAATGTTTGTGGAATTTTCTGGAAATACTTCAATTCATGGCTTGCAGTATCTTGGAGAGAGACGACGTCATTGGGTTGAGCGTGTTTTTTGGGTGGTTGCGTTGGTTATTTCTGTCATTGGATGTTCGATTATGATTAACAGAGTTTACAAAAAATGGAATACGAGTCCAGTCATTGTAAGCTTCGCTGAAAAATCCACGCCAGTTTGGCAAATTCCATTCCCTGCTGTCACAATTTGCCCTGAAACAAAAGCATTAAAAAAACACATCGACTTTACTGAAGGCTTCACAATGAAGCTTCACAACAATACTGATAATCTAACAATTGATCAATTGAAAAACTTGGAAGCTGTAGCACAAATTTGTGACCCACATTTATTGAAAGATCTGCCAATAAATAGTGGATTAGAAGCAAATGAAATCGTCCCTTTGTTGAAGTCAATTACAATGCCATTAAATGAGACAACTTTGTTCTGCAAATGGAGGAACACTGTGCTGCCATGTACAGATTATTTCACTGAAATATTAACCGAAGAAGGATTTTGTTACACTTTTAATATTTTGGATGCTTCGGAATTATTCAAGGAAGACGTGTAAGTGAATTGAATGAGTGAAAGAAATAAAAAAATTTATCAATCTCTTATTTTCCTATTTATTAGATTAGCTGATGACTTCAAATATCAGAAGCACAACATATCTTCTGATGAGTGGACTCTTGAAGATGGATATTCAACATTCAGTCCCACAACTTATCCCAGACGAGTTCTTGGGTCGGGATCAAGAGCTGGTCTTAACATTGTTCTAAAGCTCACAGAACCTGATCTCGATTACATCTGTCGAGGACCAGTGCAAGGTTTCAAAATTCTTCTGCACACACCCGGAGAAATCCCGCGAGTTTCGAAACAGTATTTTCGTGTTCCATTAAGTCAGGAAGTCGTCGTCAGTGTTAAACCGAATATGATTACGACTTCTGAGGGCTTGGCTGATTACGCTCCTGAGAGACGTCAATGTTTTTTTAACGATGAACGACACTTAAAGTTTTTTAGAGTCTACACGCAAAGTAACTGCGAATTGGAATGTCTGGCAAACTTCACTTTAGGTGAGATATTTTTCAATTCTTTCTTCTCTATGGAATTTTATTTTAGATGTTTGAATTTCTGTCATTCAGATCAATGCAAATGCGTGAAATTTTCCATGCCTCGTGACACTGAAACAAGAATTTGCACTCAGTCAGAAGTTTCTTGTTATGACTCTGCAGAAGACAATTTGATGAAACTTGAATTCACTCAGAGCTTAACGTCAGGTTCGGGTGTTAATAAACTGGGGCAAACTTCTTGTAATTGTCTACCTTCATGCACTTCAATCGTCTACGATGCTGAAATTTCCCAAGCTGATTTTGAATTCGAAAAGATGTTCAATTCATATGCGGAAGATTATTTGGATGAACTTCCTGGCGCTATTCTAGCGAGATTGACAATCTTCTTCAAAGAAGCGCAATTCATCACATCAAAGAGATCAGAACTTTATGGTTTGAGTGAGTTTATGGCAAATTGTGGAGGTTTGTTAGGTGAGTAAGAAAAACGATTTTAATTAAGTTTTTAATTTATCAGAACTTTTTCCAGGTCTCTTCATGGGTGTCTCAATTTTATCATTAATGGAAATTGTTTACTACATCACTCTAAGATTATCTTGCAATTTAAATAATCGACGACAAAAGCGAATTCGTGAAAGAAAACAAAGTATGACAGATCAAGAAAGAAATGAAAAATTTGTGTTCAATGTTTCTGAAGACAAGGATGATTAAATGTTAATTCATTTCATTTTTAGATGTTTCCATTCATATATGAATGAATAAAGCTTTCAGTGTTGACATGTAACTAGTAACGCAGTTGAATTATTAAGAAGTGAAATAATGTTCTCAACAATTTTTATTTAACTAATAAGCAAGCAGAAGTTGCTGTCTGCCATAACAGACTTAACTTCAATTAAACCCAACTTGTTTCATCCAAAAGTTCGCTGGTAACGGGAGTGGTGCACGTCAATTGCTTTTAATGTTGTTCCAAGCCCATCATCATGTTGATTCATTGAACATGTGTATCTTCACATATAAATATTCATTATCATACTTAGCAAGGAGTGACGCAATTTTTGAAATGACTCTGGGGACATTTGATATTTTCAAATAATTTTTTTTAGAAAGTGCAAATATTTAAACTTTTAGGTTGACACTTTTCTTTACAGCATTTTAGCTTGGCTTGATTTATTTTATTATGAAAGCAATTCGAAGTTGCATGGAATAGTTGCAGATACATTTCTGAAGTCTTTGTATTAAGTCGTCATGTCTGATTTCTATAATATTTGGTGAACGCCTTAACATTGAACCATAAAAATGGATAAAAGTCCGAAGGGAGAAGATCCCAATGCACTGACCTGTGAAAATGGTGAGTTAATAAATGTGAAAAGCTTAATTTAGCGAAGCAAACCCTTTTCCAAATCCATATAAAAAGTTCGGTAATAACAAAAAATTACCACAGTGTTCAATCAAGCTTCACTAAAATGTTACTCGGAATTAAATAATTTGAAGTTCAAGTTCAATTTTTTGAGAATTTATTGTGAAAATAAAAATTTAAATGATGTCAAAAGAAATGTCGATGCTTTCTGTTGAACCACCAGCCCAACGCCGTCTTTCTGTCTTATCAATGGCAAGTGAAGCTGGTTCTGAGAATGAACATAGAAGAAAAATTAAATACGGTGGCCCATTGGCTGGTACATTAAATCATAAAAACTGTCAAACAAAAGATTGATTCATGTTAAATTTTCCTTCAAATAGCTGCTTGGGGGATGTTTGCAGATTTTTCCAACAATAGCACAATTCATGGAGTACAATATTTTGCCGAAAAACGTCGTCATTGGACTGGTAAGTTCTGAATTTATTCTTCCCGATGAAGAAGCATCAAATACTCATTTGTATTAGAACGAGCTTTCTGGGTCATTGCATTTCTGGTATCCGTCATTGGATGTTCGATTTTGATTCATAAAATCTACGAAAAATGGCAACTTAGCCCAGTGATTGTAAGTTTCGCTGAAAAATCTACACCAGTTTGGCAAATTCCTTTTCCTGCTGTCACAATTTGTCCTGAAACTAAAGCAATGGTTCAACATGTTGACTTTACTAAAGGATATCGAAGCATTCATTGGGGTGAACGAGATAATCTGACAGAATTTGAATTGAGAGGCTTGGAAGCAGTAGCACAAATTTGTGATCCGCATTTATTCACCAACATATCAATCGACAGTGGATTGAAAGTAAATGAAATCGTCCCTTTGTTGAAGTCAATTACAATGTCATTAAATGAGACAACTTTGTTCTGCAAATGGAGGAACACTGTGCTGCCATGTACAGATTATTTCACTGAAATATTAACCGAAGAAGGATTTTGTTACACTTTCAATGTGTTGGATGCTTCGGAATTATTCAAGGAAGACGTGTAAGTGAATTGAATGAGTGAAAGAAATAAAAAAAAATCAATCTCTTAAATTCCTAATTATTAGTTTGGCTGATGACTTCAAATATCAGAAGCACAACATATCTTCTGATAAGTGGACTCTTGAAGATGGATATTCAACAATCGACCCTTCAACTTATCCCAGACGAGTTCTTGGACCTGGAGCTAGAGCTGGTCTTAACATTGTTCTAAAGCTCACAGAACCTGATCTCGATTACATCTGTCGAGGACCAGTGCAAGGTTTCAAAATTCTTCTGCACACACCTGGAGAAATCCCGCGAGTTTCGAAACAATATTTTCGTGTTCCATTACGTCAGGAAGTCGTCGTCAGTGTTAAACCGAATATGATTACGACTTCTGAAGGCTTGGCTGATTACGCTCCTGAGAGACGTCAGTGCTATTTCAATAACGAACGTAATTTGAAATTTTTCAAGGTCTACACGCAAAGTAACTGCGAATTGGAATGTCTCGCTAATTTTACGTTAGGTATGACATTTTGTAAATTATTTGGGTTATCAATTTATTAATCCATTGGAGATTTGTTTTTTAAATTCATGTAGGAAAATGTGGTTGCGTGAAATTTTCCATGCCTCGTGACACTGAAACAAGAATTTGCACTCAAACAGAAGTTTTTTGTTATGACTCTGCAGAAGACGATTTAATGGAAACTGAACTCACTCAGAGTTTGAAGTCAGGTTCGGGTGTTAATAAATTTGGAAAAACTTCTTGTAATTGTCTACCTTCATGCACTTCTATCAATTACGATGCTGAAATTTCTCAAGCTGATTATGAATACGTCAAAGTTTTCAATGCTTATGGTGGTGATTTAAACGAGTTTCCTGGTGCAATTCTAGCGAGATTGACAATCTTCTTCAAAGAAGCGCAATTCATCACATCAAAGAGATCGGAACTTTATGGTTTGACAGATTTCATGGCAAATTGTGGTGGTTTGCTGGGTAACTTAATATGACTTTGAAATTTATTTTGAATTGATAAATTAATTTTCATTCTTTTTCATGTCAAAAGGTTTATTCATGGGCGTATCAATATTGTCGCTAATTGAAATTCTTTATTACATAACATTACGTCTCGCTTGTAATTTGAATCACCGAAGGAACAAAAGAAACAAAGCCAAGAAAAACAGTGTTAGGGATATGGATCATGCGCCTGGAATTAAAATTGATTGTTCTCCAAACGACATTCAAAAGCATGAATAATTACGAATCTGGTGAAATTTTAAAGTACATTTTAAAATGTTGATGAACTTGAGCTAAGAGTTTCAGTTAAATTATGTTGTTATGATAGATGTTGAATATTGTTTTATAAATTTAATTGTTGGCATCGTCATGTAACTGAAACTCATTCAAACGGACTTTGATTAACGAAAGAATTCCATCTGAATACTTTTTATAACTTAAAATGTATCAAAAGAGAATCATTTTCGTGACGGATAACAGACGAAAAACTTCGTCGAATATAATTGTTGTGGCATTCTTTTTATTTCATTATTTCAAGTTATAAATTTGTCAATGTCTGCAAAACAAAGAAAATCAAAAAAAAAAATCGAAGAGCTTTAAACAGTTTTTGTGATAACACGACGAGTTTAATTTGTGTGATTATCTCATACCTGACCTACACTAGTCAAATATCTTACAAAGTAAGATATCAATCTCTTTACATTTATGTGAAATTATTGCGACGTTAGAGGCGATTGACCCTTTTAATCATTTAATTATCATGGTGACATTGAAAAAGAGATATCAATATTTATGATTCATTATTTAGTCATAGAGTTTTTTTTGGAAACCTTGTTATGAGTGTATTTGGCACAGAAGATTAATTATTTTAAAACACCTATTGATATAAATGTTAACTATTGATGTAAAATGTATTCTAGATCATCTCTGTATCAGAATTTATGGAAAATAAAAATAATGATAAAATAATTTGGAAAATCTTCTTAAAGTTGAAAGTGTTTGTAGATAAATAAAAAGATAATGAAACACTTGAAGCTATTAATTGATTGTGATAAAGTTTGCACGATATATAAAGCATTAAGAACCAGGCTTTTTTCGGTATTCTTCATGTCTGTTTGATTGTGAAAACATTAAAAGTTTGAGTGGAAAAATGATTTTGAGAATAATTGTGATGAGTTTTGGTTTTTTGCTGGTTGCAAGCAAAGTTTCTTTGCCGTCAATTTCGCAGTTTGCTGATGATATCGATGGAATAAGTTACCGACTACCAAACGAAACGATTCCATTGGAATATGACTTGCAATTAACGACAGAAATTCATAGTGGCGAAAAAAGATTTACGGGAACTGTGAAAATTACATTAAAAGTTATAGAAGCTACTTCGAAGATTACGCTTCATATGCGTCAGTTGACGGTGGAAAATATTACTTTAACCCCTTCTGATTCCTTAACAAAAGTTTCTATTGACTGGGATAACGTGACAGCCACTGAATTTCTTATTATTACAGCAAGTGAAACGTTAGTTGTAAATGATGATTATAATCTTGAAATTGATTATTTTGGATTTTTGAGAGATGACAACATGGGATTTTATCGATCATCATACAAAGATTCATCGGGACAAACAGTTTGGCTAGCAGCAACACAATTTGAAGAAACAGACGCTCGTCATGCCTTTCCGTGTTATGACGAACCACAATTTAGAACACCGTTTAGAATAAAAATTAAACATCATTCTGATTATAGTGCGATCTCGAATATGCCTGGTGACACTTTTGTCGAAAAAGAACCGCCAAACTCAATCACAACTTTTGAAGAAACTCCAGATGTTCAAACTTATTTAATCGCTTTCATTGTTGCAAAGTTTGAAAGTGTTTCTAACGATGATGTTAATACAATTCAAAATGTTTTTGCAAGACCAGAATCGATCGATAACAACGAAGCAGATTTTGCTCTAGAAGTTGGCACGAAAGTTTTAGAAAAGTTCAAAGAACATTTTGAAGTCGATTATTCCTTGCCAAAATTGGATCAAGTCGCGTTGCCAGATTTAAATGGAGGTGCAATGGAGAATTGGGGTTTAGTCACATATCGTGAAGAATATTTGCTTCTTAATCCATCAACTGCCACTACAAGACAACGAGAAAATATTCTGACGGTCATTTCTCATGAATATGCTGTAAGTTGATGAGCTTTAAACGTTAATTTTTAATTGCTATTTAATGAATTATAATTTATTAACGATTAGCATCAATGGTTTGGCAATCATGTCGCACCTAAATGGTGGAGTTATTTATGGTTCGTATCAAATTAGATCATAGATTAGCTTAGTGATATCAAAAAGGTTTTTTTTCTTATCAAAGGCTGAATGAAGGGTTTGCCACGCTTTATGGGAACTTTATGGCCAATTTGGTTTATCCAGAAGACCGTCTTATGGACACATTCGTTGTTGATGTTGTTCAAACTGTACTTGAAGTTGACGCAAGCACAACAATTAGACCGATGACATTTTACGTTGAGAATCCAGATCGTATCAAAGCGTTGTTTGATCGTGTTGGTTATGAAAAATGTGAGTTGAATGGTAAAGAAATCATTTAAGGTTTAAAGCCTCATAAACGAATAATTCATTATATTTCTTTTTATTACTTTAAATACGAATTATGATAACAGCAATGAAAATTTATCAGTGAAATTTCACTAACAGTCGAATGTTTATTACTTTGCTTTTCAGCTGGAAGCGTACTGCGCATGATGCAAGTGGCGTTTGGTGACGACACTTTCACTAAAGGACTTCGTTATTATCTCAACGTAAATAAATTTAAAGCAGCAACATCAGATGATCTTTACACTGGTCTGCAACGATCAATCGATGAAGATTATTCACTGAATGCTCCAAATGTTGAAGCAATTTTTAGAACTTGGGAAACTCAATCTGGTTATCCACTTGTGACTGTTACACGCAATAACTTTGAATCGTTGACGATTAAGCAAGAACGATTCTTTTACACGACAAAAGAAACTTCAGATAATCTTTGGTGGATTCCAATCAATTATGTCGTTCAATCAAATCCTGATTTTACAAATACAAAACCTGATTTTTGGATTGAAGGAACTGAAAGTTTACAACTAGCGAATAATGCAACAAAAAGCTGGCAAAACGACGATTGGATTATTCTCAACATTCAACAAACAAGTTATTATCGTGTTAATTATGATAACGATTTATGGGAATTATTGATACAACAATTAAACGTCAATCACACAGAAATTCATGTTTTAAATCGTGCACAACTCATTGATGATTCTTTGAATTTAGCACGTGGTGGAAGAATTTCATACGAAATACCATTAAGAATGTTAGAATATTTGGAGAACGAAAGCGATTACATCCCATGGGCATCTGTAAGTAAATAATTAAATAATATTTGAATAATAAATCTAATTTTATTCTGTAGGCATATCGTGGATTGAATTTTCTGAACAGACTTCTGAAAGATTCTCCAATCTATGATGATTACAATAATTTCGTTCAACGGATCATTTCACCACTTTACGAAAGATTATCATTAAATATTGATGATAAAGAACATAAATTAGATCGTTATGCCAGGAATGTTGCTGTGAATTTAGCATGTGAAGCTGGCCATTCAAAATGTCTGTCAGAAACAAATGAAAGCTTCATCGATTTTATATTAAAAGCAGTTGAAATTCATCCTGACTTGAAATCTTCAATTTATTGCAATGGATTAAAAACAAACGTCGTAAATTCTTTTAACAATATGAAAAGAAAGCTTACAGAGTCGAATGATCAAGCAGAGAGAACTTTAATTATTGACGCATTAAGTTGCATTCAAAATGAGAATTTGTTGTACGAACACATTTTAAATTCTACTAAATTTGGCAATAATTTTAGACTTCATGAGAAATCAAGAATGGTAATGTCACTACTGAATAATGGAGAAACAGCTCTTCTTGTACTGATAAAATTAATTCGAAATGAGTATGAAACTTTAATCTCAATCTTAACTACAACTCAGTTTAGCACGATGCTTTCAAGTATTTCATCACGTGTCACTTCTCAAAGTCTTAACAACGAGTTTAATTCAGTGTTAAGTTACTTAGAAAGCAATAATTATATCACTGAAAATAGTGTGAACTCATACAGAGCTTCAGCTTTAGCTAATATTGAATGGCAAGGAAACAATTTTGAATTCTTTAAACAATGGTTTCAAGTTACTACTACAACTCTCCCGTCAGATATCACCGACGAGACAACTGAAGAAGGCGCAGGGTCCATTATGATTTCATTAGTACTGTTGACATTATGTTCTTTAATCAAATATTTGCTTTGATCATGAAACCATGTCGCTTTGTATTAATTATGTAGAAATAAAAAGAAAACCAATATTGGTTGAATATTTTAATATTTTTAAATCATGACATTTGAAGAAGAGACAACAAGCTTTTGTTGATAGGTATGAATTTGTCGCTTAAGGTCAATGCACCGGTGCGTCAAGTCATCTAATGTGTTAAAAAAGCTGATATGTAAATTCATTTTTGCTTTAATCAATGAAAATTTAGAGGAACTTGAAAAATTTCATGAACTTGAGAAATTATGTAAAACATTTCTTTTAGGCTTTTTTTTATCATGAATAAGCAATATTTTATTCAAATAATTTTTTTATAAAAGATTGTGTAGGAAATTAAACTAATGTGAACTCTACTATGAGCTTAACCGATCAACTTCTTTTTCTTGAGGAGAAGGATTTTCTTGAGGAGCAATTTCTTCTTGTGGATGCCTGCTTCATCAGCTGGGTGGAAGTTGTCAACGTTGTCACTTAAGATGGATTCGTCAGCTGGGATGGCTGAGACGATGACCAACAATACGGCGATGACCAAGAATGCCTGCAAGATTAACAGATTTCACTTTTATAACTTTTGCATTTAAAGAATTTTTTATCAATTTCTTCGTGACACTTTCTTATATTAAAAACTTTTCACTTTTCTATGTTTAATTTTTTTTAAGAGAAATACTCTTAATAGTATTAATAAACGATTTACAATCTTCAGAACTTACAATAACAATCAATTTCATGATGATGCTTTGTTTTGAATTTGCTTCTGCTTTATTGAGATAATCAAATAGAACTGAATGATTTGCTTCTCGCGTTGAAGTCTTTTATACCGATGAAAAGCATTGAATTTACAAAATCGATTCAAACATCGAGCGTGTTTCAATGAATTAGTTTAGGCGAGATGAATATGATTCACGTGATTGTATTTTAAAGATTTTAAGGTTTGGTGAAGAAAAATGTTTTTCCTTTCACTTCCTTTGAAATTTTATGATTTCTTTATGTAAATCTATGAGTATATGCATGAAGGTACATGGATAATAAATTCCTTTTGGCATTATTTTACGATTTAATGATCATATCGAGAAAAAGCTAAAAAAAGAAGATACAAGAAGATACGAAAAAAATCGTTAGTTAAAGCTTCTTCAAGCTTCTTCTGTCAACTTTTTAATTCTTACTTTATTAAAGGCAATTAAATTTCGGTTGATTGAAAGTGAAATGTTTGATTATAATCTTGGTTTCATTTTAATTTAGTAGCAATTTCAATATCAAAATTCTAAACTTAGATCTTAATACGTGATCATATTCAGTGTTAAAGGATGAAAATTATGGAAATGAAAATTATGGAAATGTAAATTAGTTTTGAATTCAAAGATTACGCACATTTTTCTCATACTGGTCACGCATTAATGAATTTTTGAATTTTACCTTAAATATCAATTTACATTCTTTAAAAATATCAAACAAAAAATGCTGGAAATTCATGGAATCATTTGGAAATCTAGATATCCGACCACGACTTCAGTTGCATTTTTATTTATGACAAATTTTGATGTCAACTTAAACATTTAGGTTTTTTAAGATCATAAATTATTTCTTTAATTTAATCAAATTATTTGATTGACAGAAGCTAATGATTCCTTATCTGATGTTTTGACATATATTTGAAAAATTCTGAGGAAACACAATATCAAGTCTTATTATACATTCAATCTGAAAGATTTCGTTGGAAGTTCCAAAGACAAGATCTCAATAAAAGAAAAACCTGGAATATATGAAATGACATAGGTATGTGCAAATTGTCCAAGCAAATATATTGGAATACATAGAAGATTCAGTGATCGGTTTAAAGAACATAAGAGATACTTTAGGAAAAACAAAGAAAGAAATCCGCCATGGCCACGCATTGCATCGATGTAAAACATGAAATAACTGTTTGGGAAAGTTTTTACATCGAAAAAGGAACGGAACTTACGAATCCTAACACATTAACTTATGTTTATTAGAAAATCAGTACGAATCAAAATTCTGATGATGATGATAGCTGATTTGCTATCGAAATACATATCAAAGGGAATTTAAATTAAAGTAATAAGCCAAATAATGAATGATTACACTTGTTACGTGTTTCAAAACGGTTTAAAAACAGAGAAGAATTTTGAGCTTTTACATTTGAAAGAATATTTAGAAAGGTTCATTCTAGACTTGATGATGCTGTCTGATGAAATGTTTGAGAATTTTCCAGAACTTTAAGAATTTTGAAAATAATCCACAAATGTTCAAAAACTTCCTGTTAAGAAAATGCAGAGAAATAAAATAAATTTTGATTTAAAATATTGGATTTTAATTTTTTGTTTAGAAAAACATGTTGTTTTTATTTTTCTAGAAGATTTATAAAATAATAAGTGGAATGAAAATAAAATTTGACTAATTTTCAGACAGATTCAGCTTAGTTCAGCTTAACCGATCAACTTCTTTTTCTTGAGGAGAAGGATTTTCTTGAGGAGCAACTTCTTCTTGATGCCTGCTTCATCAGCTGGGTGGAAGTTGTCAACGTTATCACTTAAGATGGATTCATCAGCTGGGATGGCTGAGACGATGACCAACATGACGGCGATGACCAAGAATGCCTGAAAATTTCAAATGATTTGAAGCGTTAATGAACTGTTCTAAATGCATTTTTAAATTAATTTCACTTACAATAACGATCAATTTCATTTTGAATTAGTTTTTTTGTTTGAAGATTAGCTACTCAAATGTTAAGATTACTTGAAGAACTGAATGATTTTTCATGCGTTTCGATGTCTTATATACCAATCGGAAGCGTTTTAAACGTAACCGATATTTCAACTTTTATCTCAGAAGAAGAATTATGAATTTGATTGGCAAAACTGCGTTGAAATAATACTCACGTGAGGTTGAAGTCATTCACGTTTTCGTAACCTAGACTTCCTCTTCATTTTTTGCGACGCTTGTTGCTTCCGAAGCGACTGACATTTCGATAAAGGCTACTGATGCCAACATGTAGTAAAAGATGAATAAATAAAAGACAAATTGTATTGTCATTTGTGTTCAAAGTATCTTTTGACACTGTGAAAATAATTTTTATTACTTATTATTTCAAGATTCTCGCAGAAAGTTAAGAAATTATTCAACAGAATATTAAAATATTTTTAGTTTTTCTAAACGTTCATAAAAATAGCTGAGATATTTGTAAAAAAAAGAAAACATAAAAATATTCTCGAATAAAAATTAAGATGAAGATATCAAAGATGATTTAGAAAAAAATTGATTTAGGTTTTATTTACAAATGTTTAAAATCTTTTCAATGTATTTCCTGAAATTGATAATTTTTAATTTTGTTCTTTTAATGAAGAAAGTACATTCATCAGAATTTTTACGATTTTCAATATAAAAATAGTTTTTCAATTGTTTTTCCTAATTCTTTTATTTTAATTTTATTTATTTATTTCTATAAATGTTCGATTTCTTAGCATAAGCTTAATAAATATGAAAGGAGTAAAAATTTTTCGTACAAAAACAAAATTAAAACAACAAATTTTAGATATGGCGTAAACAAATATGTTGAATCCAGAATATTGTAGATCATTCTTTGAATATTCATATGTTTATTACGGAGGCCCACCTTTGGTGAGGTCACCGTATTGTATTCGACATT